CTTACTGTAGCCTGGTACACACGACCTTTAAGACCCAGTGAGATGCCTTTTTGACGCCACAAGTGACGCAAATTAGCAAACGTGATTCGAGCCTTTGAGATTCTTGCACTGACTTCATCAGACACACTTCCATCAGAGGTAATACAACTACCGAAGTACGTAAAGTTTTCCGCAATCTCCAGTGGTTCTCCTCGAATTGTAAGGGATATGTTCGCAGCCAATAACAATTTGGACACCGGGGTTTTGAAAACCATCCAGTGTTCGCATCATTGTTTCATCGATGACGAAGTTGAACAAGAATGGGAAGAGTGGACATCCTTGTCTGACGCCACTTTTTATAGGGAAGCTTTTGGAGGGCTCACCATACACCCTCACCAGCCCAGAAGTATGTGAATATAGGGATCGAATTATGTTTACAAACTTCTGGGGCATACCCTGTCGAGCAAGTGTAGGCCAGAGGAACCGCACAGAGCGATTATAAACAGGCATCCAGTCAAGCAAGGATACTTCCGTCCGGTGAATTAGGATGATACCAACCCCTGCACATCCCGCAGCAGCAGGCTCCGGATCACCAGAGGTGCACAGCCGGAAGCGAGTGGAGACTGATGGGTGGTTAGATCAATCGGTGTGCCTCCATCTTGAATTCTAGTTTCTGAGACACAGAACACATGAATGCCAAGTGAGTCCAGTTTGAGAGCAATAGCAGCTTGTTGCTCTGCTTGCTTCAGAGTGACGACATTGAACTGGGCCAGATAGACTGGGTGTCGTGGTTTGAAGTTTGATTTGGAGATGCCTGAGGATGTTGGCGCCATGTGGCGAGCAGATGCTGCACGTAAACTCGATGCAACACGAACGAAGTCATCAGTCCTAAGTGCTGGACCTACAAGGGTGGAGTTATCAAATAGGTGGAGAGAGGAGGTAAGCATGCCAAAGTAAGAAAGGAGGCGTTAGCAGTAGCTTGTTTTCGCGTACCCGCCCTGCTGTATGCAGCAGGGCGACCCGACTGATGGCACCACGCGAAAGAAAGCGCATAAGCCGAGACCCAGCAAGTATGGTTGCACATCACCAATACTTACATATGAATCAATCAAACTGACAGGAAGCGTACACTACAACACCAACCACGCTCTACCGCTCACAGTTAAACGCTGCAACGGCCGAGAACCCTATCCCACACAAGATTGGCCCGAAATTCGGGACGCTAGCCGGCTCGGCATCATGTTGAGCTCTGATTGGTCGAAATTCCGAACGCAACCCAATTGTGACTTAGTGTTGGCCGAACGCCGGTTGCCAATGCTGCATCCAAGAGGCGTCACAATTTTCAGGTTGTCGCACACAACACTATATATGCGACGTGCTGTACAAGTGTTTTTGACTCGGTCTTGGGTTCCGATATAACTAAGCTGAGGAAAACACCGGTAGTGTGATTGGTGAGAGGGAACCCATGCATTCAATCGGAGTTGCTCAGCTCAGAGAGCCTATGTAGCAGCAACAGAAGCAGGTTGGATAAGCGCGGGTGAATTTCATCATTGAATGACGTCGCAAAGCCTCATCACCAAATGTCAACACCTCATCAACCTGAAGCACAGCACGGCTATGATAGAACCGTCGCTATTTCAAGCGCTCAGAGAGCCTATGTAGCAGCAACAGAAGCAGGTTGGATAAGCGCGGGTGAATTTCATCATTGAATGACGTCGCAAAGCCTCATCACCAAATGTCAACACCTCATCAACCTGAAGCACAGCACGGCTATGATAGAACCGTCGCCTGTTATTTCAAGCAACCGTGTACAGGCAATCAAATCCAGCGTCCCGAATAAATCTGAAATGTGATTGAACTCACAGCGAGCCTTCCATGGGTTGCCGGCATTGCTGTGACTGGCAGTTTGCTCGTTGGTGTCAGTTTAGGCGTAACATATGTTCCAGATGCGTCGTCGTGAACGAAAAGAAGCTTGTGTCAATATCAAAGGCTGGAGCCACCTACACAATATCTTTCAGGTCGAAAATCGCGCGTTTGCCCTGTGGCGGCGTTATTCAAATTTGATTTTGCTTGCCGAAGCAAGTTCGTGACGGCTCGTATCAGCAGCATTTAAGTTCGTTTGCAGCTTGACATCACGCTGCCCGGTGAATGGACGTGGAGACGTGCGATGGTCTGGCTACCCAAAAATTACCTTACAAAAAGTGTGTGAAAACGAACCAAAGATAATAACTCTAGATTGGGTACACAATAATAACGAGGTCAGATGGAACAGACTCACTAACCATTGTCCTCTCCAAAATAGTTCGTCGTTGGCCGTACGTCCGAAATCGGTTTCGTTTTTCCCTCGTGCAAATTTGTGAAAGAATTTTTTCGTTGTTCAATTTATTCACAGAGTACACACGAGTAATTGTTAAATTTTATTACTCTAACAAAATATTTGAGAGATAAGCCTTGATATTTTGCGCACACTTTCTATTTTACATCTGGTCCTAAACATGGCATCAATTTATACCAATTGCCCTCTGCAGCCATTGATAGACCACAACAGATGTGAGCGAAATGGCTGCCCATCGAGCGTAAAACGCGGTATGCAATCACACACCTGCAAGGCCTGGTGACACTCCAAATGCACGGGTTTACAGGACGACCAGATAAGCCGACTAGCTAACTCTTCTGAACCGTTTGTCTTCACCAGCTGCCTCTACGTTAAGGGTGCAATGCATACCGCAGCCAAGAGGAGAGCCCCCGAAAACGGTACCCAATCCCCATTGCAGCTTCAGAAAGACCGATCGGGATGCTTGACGCGGAATTAGTGCGTCTTTCGAAGGCACTGGAGGATTCAGACACTAAGAATGCAGCGACTTGGACGAAAGTTGACAAGGA